AGCTAGGGGAGCGAGCAGTGTCCGTCAGCGAGCAGCAGCAGGGTGGGGAACCCAGTGTCGTAGAGCAGGAGGGGGTTGGGGGACGGAGTGGTGGGGGTGGCGGCATCTCCGCGGACAAGGGCATCAAGTTGTATGAGAGCGGGCCGGAGCTCCCTGGACCACTCCGGGGGGTCTTACGCCTAACCCCCTTCCCGGGGAGTTGGATCAAGTGTCAGAGGTCAAGTTGGGCGGGAAGGCGGCGGCGGTGTCGGGCGGCGGCTCGCACAAGGATGGCATCAGGACTGCGCAGCATGTACAGGGCGTCCCGTCGGCTGCAGTAGTTTGGCAGACCCGCGCGCCACAACACGCTTTCGGGGTCAGAGAAGTGACCCGCGAAGTGGCGAGCCGCGGACGGGAAAGTGACAAGCTGCGGGCGCGACGTGACACGCCGCGTCTTGGATCAGCTGACCCCGTCTTCACCCTCGAGAGCGTGGGATGGCTGGTCAGCCTGCACATCTTGGCGGCTGCGGTGCGTGGGCGGTCGCGGTCAGCACTCCATCCGCCGCCAGCGCCGCATGGCCCGACTGGCGCGGGAGTAGTCGCGGCCCCCGCGCTTCCCCGCAGGACCGCGGCGGCGGTGGCGACGGTGTGGCGCGCCGGGCAGCGGCGGCGGCGGGGGTGGAGTCGACTCTGCCTCGCTATCTGAAATGCAGATAAGATTTATTTGTCGGAGAGGCTGGAGTGGGGTGGCGGGAGGTGGGGAGGAGCTGGAGCGCCCTCTGGAGAGTACAAAGGGTCCCGGCCAACCCCGGCGGTGTGCCCGGGCCGGACCGGCGCTCCTCTTGGGGCAGGCCCTCGGGCCGCCGGGCGCCGCCGGGTATAGGCGGGTCGGACGCAAACCCGCAGCCCCCTCTTCTTCCACCGATGAGTTTCGAACAGGTTGACCCCGCTCCGGGCCCGGGGTCCCCAGGACGGTTTCCGCGGGACACCGCAGAGCGCAGCAGAGTGGCATGAATCATCATTTTATCTCTGTTGGTCCGCGCGGTCCGTGGCGGCCGCACGGCCCGAACTGGATGAGCCCGTTCCGAAATGTTTCTCGAAATGCTCCCGCCGGGCCCCAGTCCAGCCCCGGCCCTCGGCCCCAGCGGCCCCAGCCGCGCAGATAACAGATTCAGATGCTGTTTGCGGCGGTGCGCCCGCCCGCCCGCCGGCACGCCCACGCACTCGGTCCCCGCGGCCCACCTACGGACCCCCAGTCACTTCTTGCCCCTCGGGGGCCCCCGATAGAGTTGAGGTGGGGCACCTTTTTGTGCTGCCAATCGGCCACGCGGGCTAGACGGGCGGGGTGGGGTGGGACGGGCTCCAGCAAGCCGGGACCCTGCCGGTCCCTGCCTCCCCGGGGAACCTAATAACCTGGACGGCATCCACTATTTCGGGGAACGACAGCGCTAAGTCTGATCGACTGATA